GTCCTGGTCCTGGTCCTAGTCCTTTCTCTGGTCCTGGTCCTGGTCCTGGTCTTGGTCCTGGTCCTGGTCCTGGTCCTAGTCCTTTCTCTGGTCCTGGTCCTGGCCCTGGTCTTGGCCCTGGTCCTGGCCTATAACTATAACTAAGAGCTAGATATATACAGGGTAAGAGCATATATATATAAATACAGTGGGGGAAATAAGTATTTGAGCCCTTGCTGATTTTGCAGGTTTGCCCACTTACAAAGAATGCAACGATCTATAACTTTAATCATATGTACATTCTAACAGTGAAAGACAGAATCCCAAAGAAAATTCCAGAAAATCACATCATATGAATTTATAAAAATTGATAACCATCTGATGAGGAAAAATAAGCATTCTTTGTAAGTGGGCAAACCTGCAAAATCAGCAAGGGGTCAAATACTTATTTCCCCCACTGAATATATATGCTTTCACCCTGTATATATCTAGATCTTAGATATAGAAAACATATTTATTGAGTAGGAATAAGGTCTTAGCTCTGTCACACTGGTAGCCAAGTAATCGACATTTCGTTGTCAAGATTCCCCTTGTGTTTTTTGTACAGTGACAATAAAGGAAGTCTAAGTCTAACGGCCTCCGTTTTCCTGCAGGAAGGAGGAGATGGCGCCCTCCTCCACCCCAAACCAACGGTACCACAACACGGTGCGTCTGTCCACGCCCAAAAGCAGGAACTGTGAGGAAGTAAGGTAAAACTACACAAAACAACACGAATAATTACAGTCAAACGGAGGAATATCGCCCAGTTTAAGTCAATGGTGATTATCCCTTTAAAGCCTGATCCAAGAATAAAACAAAACAGAAAATGACTTTTTTTTTGTTTGAGTTCCTTATTTGGCCTTTTAACAAAATATGTAAAAAGAAAAAACAGAAATACATTTTTGATATTAATAATTTATTCCTATGTGATAAATCCAGGTTATGTTTTGTGTATCTTCTGCCCCCTGTTATCAGGTGTATCTGATTGTGTACAATAGGATTTAGAGCAAAGTTTTTACCATTAAATTATGCAAAAGGAGTCAGACGCAAAACATTTCAGAAACCGTATCAGATATGACACATTTGGCATTACAGGGTTAACACAAAATATAGTTATAAAAGAAATAAAACTATCAGTAATTTACATAGATCATGTGATAGCATGCTATGCTAACGTGAGTAATTATAGCCAGATGCTAACAGGATAAAAACTTAACAGAGATATAAAAAGAGAGAAAAGAGAGTCTGTGGACACAACCAGAGACTTTAACACAAAATATAGTTATAAAAGAAATAAAACAATCAGTAATTTACATAGATCATGTGCTAGCATGCTATGCTAACGTGAGTAATTATAGCCACATTCTAACAGAATAAAAACCCAACAGAGAAAGGAAAAGAGGACACAGCCAGAGACTTTAACACAAAATATATAAAACAATCAGTGATTTACATAGATCATGTGAAAGCATGCTAGGCTAACGTGAGTAGCTATAGCCAGATGCTAACAGGATAAAAACCCAACAGAGAGAGAAAAAGAGAGAAAAGAGAGTCTGTGGACACAGACAGAGACTTTAACACAAAATATATAAAACAATCAGTGATTTACATAGATCATGTGATAGCATGCTATGCTAACGTGAGTAATTATAGCCAAATTCTAACAGAATAAAAACCCAACAGAGAAAGGAAAAGAGGACACAGCCAGAGACTTTAACACAAAATAT